ATCTGACTTCCAACTAAGCAAAAGATAACTGTAAAATGCAAAACTGAGACTGAGTGCAAAACTGTAACATTTGCCTTAACTTTCATTTTTANAGGTTTTTTTATTGTTGTTGGATTGACCTCAAATCGTTATGAGAGCGGGAGTAGGGGTGTACCAATAAGAATATAGAACAAATGAGTGAAAGTCGTTAGAACTATGAAAGATAGCGGTGGCTGAAATAAAAAGTGTTACATCATGTTACAGTTTTTGCTCGTCACTGTATGTATTTACTAAACTACATACGCGGATGCATTCAAGCCACTGTGGCCATATCGATCGCCCTATAGACGACCGCCAATCATTGGTCAATTCATGCGTATTTTTTATTGCTCTGTTATGCCATTTTCATTCCGTTGAGTTACCAATAAATAAATAAAAAAGTCAACCGGCAGTTACAATTTGAAAGCATCGCTTATCACTTCGCATGCCGTCTCATGTCACTCGTTTCTTATCACCAGCCACGCCAGACTATACAGAAAATAGTTCAGTTGCAAATAAGCAAACTGAATCAATAAAGCCAATGTCAAGCGTATCCTTTTTTCCGCATGAGCTCTGCTTAGTCGCCAATTATCACTTTTCCTGTAAGCGTTTTTTTTTTCGTTCTACTGCCACTTTATTAAGTCGACAGCTTATGGCAATGTCAAGGCCTCGTACTCATTACACTTTCCACTGCCCAATACAATTTAATTGTCTATCGAATTAATTCCATCGCTTTTAATTTGAAAAATTGCTTAAGGCCAGAAAAAACAATAATCATTACAAGTGCAAAATAATCGACAAACGCTGGTAGCATGAAAGCCAAAAGCAGCGTGGAAATAAAAACAAAAGGCTGAAGTGATAACCGATAGCGAACCAACAAACGCATTTGAAATGAAAAAAACAATTTCATCGATGTAATTTGCGTAATTATATTTAATGGTTTCCTAATATGCCCAATGTAACAACAAATAATTTGTTGCGCGCGCGGTAATTTGTTGTAGTCGATTAGCGTGTAATTGCCGTTTTTTAGTTCTGTCAATTTTGACAGCCAGTGCGCATTTTGGTATTTTAGGATTTTTTTGTATAACTTTTATATTACGTATTTAAAATGTTGTTGTTGGTTGTCATTTGGCTGTGGTAAAAGCATACGTGCATACATATGTTTCACGCTTCTATTCGATAAGGCTTGCAAATAATTATTTGTTAATTGGCTAAAATTAAAATGACAGCAGGGTGTCTAAAATTCTATTACAATACGGCGAATAAATGATTAACTAATTTTCTAACCTAGTAACAATAAGCCGCCTCGAGTTTTCGTACAGCGAGAGCAATTCACACATAGCGAGCAGAGAAGTGGCGAATCGAAGGCGGCTATACCCTGCAGAAAAAAACTATCAATTGATAAAAAAGAAACCACTTGTAGTTAGCTTTTTTGCGGGATTTCTATAAAATATATAACTTGTAGTTAGCTACAAAAAGCTAACTCCAAACTAGTTGACAAGTAATGCAAGAGTAATGCAAGAGATTGTTTTCTTTAAACTCGTTTCTATTTAAAGATCCTTCAATTCGCAAATACTTTTTCGAACTGAGGACAAATCGAAATTTCGTATTATCATTTTGAAGTTATGTCTGACGGAGTTCGAATATGGGACCACCTATAAACAAATATGAAATGTAATAAAATAAATAAAGTAAATGAAAAATATATAAAAAATATTTAGTTTTTCCTATTGATATTTTATGTCCTAAAGTAGTTAGTTACAAGTTAGTTACATCAAATGCAGAGGTAACCACCCTTGACTACATCTAATGCAGAGGTGACCACTCCTGACAGTTGCGAACAGTTGGGCATTTCATTCAGCTTCCACCTCCTTGATTACTGCAGTGTTTTTCAGGAGTCGGAAGTCTTTGGTTTACAGGGGATCGGGATAATTAAAAAACCTTCATGCGGTATCAGAAAGAACCCTGAGTCTAAGTGAGTCCTACTTCTGGATTGACGCCCAACCTAACCTAATCTAAGTGGTACATATTTTTAGGCTCTGTTTTCTGCATAAAAATCCGAAGTCTATTCATAAGGATGAAGCTCGTCGTTTGGCGTAAGACTGCTGTTCTAAACCCCTAAAATGTGGTTGAACATTCTGACGAGTTATTAGTTTTAAATTTCGTATAGAATATGATCCTAGTAAAGGCGCTCGGGTAAATGCCTTAGAGAGACTTTATCAGCCATTTCGCCGTTAAGCAACTTTTCAAGGTTGGCCTTGCTCTCTTTTTCTGTTAAAAAATTCTCAGTGCTAGCCAAAGCTATGTTTTAATGCTCTCCAACTCTAGACAATGAGAATGACTGTGCTGTTTACTAGGTCACCGCGGTTTTGAGGGAAATGAAGTCGGCGATGAGCCGTCAACCGGTTTTGTGGCACGGGAACCATTTGTTGAGAAAAAACAAAGTCTTCTTCGAGACTTAATTACTAAGTAGCTAAACTTAAGTTCACTGTGCTCAGAGAGTTACAAGAAGAATCAGAAAATGGATCCCGGCCATGTAATCTAGAATATTTCTGACTATGGGGAAGGAAGGTGATATTTGTACCATTGGTTGGAAGAAAATGACCTCCGGTCGGTGTACTTACTTTAGCTTATTTTCTAATGCTTTGTAAAAGACTGCCTATAAAATGCTGGAATTTTATCACATCCATGTTTCTGGCGCTAATATGCTCTATATTTCCTATATGATGTGGAAAGCAAAAATCAAGTTGAAGGTAAATCAAGCTCTGACACTTTTTGGGCATTGTCAGAGAACCTTAAATAAGAATTGGTGTCTGCGAACGGCTATGGTACTTTGGGTATACTCGGCTTAAATCAGGCACATCAACGCGGATTCTGTTTACGATATGGTGGCGTGGATCTGCGGTCATAAATCGGGGACTGATTTTTATGACCTAAAAACCCATGAAAAAATCAAAATAAAATGGCAAAATATGTAGTAGGAAAAGGCACTAAAAATATACAAATAGGTAATAGGTAAATGGAACTCAAAAAGAAAAATTGGAAAAAAACCCCATTTATTTTAGAAATGTTTTACAAGTGTTTTACAAGAAAATCCAAAAAATAAATTTTTTAGTCACCAAATTATAACTTGAGAAAATTTTATTCTATGGCAATTATGAAGTGCATACCCAAAAATTTCATAAATTTCATGAAGGAAATTTTTACGCATACAGAGGTGCATAGCATGCATCTAGGCGCTTTAGGTAGTTGCCTAAAATATATTAAACGTGTACTCGACGTGAGCTGATATAGGTGGTGCCAAATTTAATTGAAGATTATTGAACAAGGGTATTGATCACGCCCTCTACTACTTTATAAATGCTTCTTATTGCCTCCAAACCTTCGTTGACTGAAAAAACGGCTTTGAATTTTTCCAACACCACTTTGGTAATAGGTCACTTACGCTTCTATAAACCGCTTCTAAATTTTAACCAAAATATTTAAACATTGTTTACACTGCTATTGCTAAATATTAATTTTTCCCAGCGCAAGTTTTGAATATGATATGATTTTTTAACAGCGGCTCCCCTCGGCAGGCAAAATATTATTATTTTTATGTGCCTGAGCGCTTGGAAGCTCTACCTACGTTATTCGGTATAGTTCAAAATTAATAGCTTAATCTTCATTGATGGGACGGCATAGTAAGTTCTCTTCTTGCCGCCCAATGGCCCTAGCGAAAAATCTGAAACAGAGAGATAATTTTTCGATAAAATCCGTCAGTCTGCTAAAAGGACCCATTTTGTCATGGCATATCCAGACGCCTATAAGTATTTCATTAAGACTACAGCACCGTTCGAGTATTAGGATTAGCTCTCTTGACAGGAAGCAGACTGTGCTTATAACACTGGTGCCATATCTGTAAACCCTATTATTTGTGAAAAGTAACATCTGAGAAAAAGTTTAGTTAGTGCGACGGATATCTAGGCGACCCCACAATCCACTATTCAACCAGCTTTCCGCTACTTCCACTAAATACTTTCTGCGAGTTTATTTACTTTGTGTGTTCAAAAA